GGACTAATTGATCAAAGCCCTGCTGTAGATAATGTTGGCTGAAGTAGATATGCATGATGACTAGTTAAATGTTGCGAAACAAAGATGTGGGGTTTTGTACCCTGGTGCAGGGAAAGTAGTGTCAAACTGTTATAAGTTTTGTTTATAGGTTGCTTGCGTAGAAGATCTTGGGACTAAGAGAGCACTGCTGCTATACAGCCCTTCTTGTTTAGTTCGAACCGTCCAGCGTAGTATATAGTGTGGTTTGCCTTATCTTAGATGATGCTTTCATCAGGCACAAACTTTCCAAGCATGTTAAGCTATTTGAATTAACAGAATCAAGTTAACTTTGTACAAAGGCTGTTGCTCTGACATTGAATTTTAAGAATAAATAATAATAAATTCTAAATAATGAGTCTTGTGGGGATATGATTATAGGACTAGAAAAGATATCTCCTGTTTTTTGTTTTTTAGGTGTTCCAGCGCGATGGGAATGACTTGCATATGACACACAAGATTGGACTTGTCGAAGCACTGTGTGGATTTCAGTTCACATTTAAGCACCTTGATGGACGTCAAATTGTGGTTAAATATCCTCCTGGAAAAGTAATTGAACCAGGTAAGCTTGACCTGATAAGGACTTCTTTGACTATGCTTTTGTGATTCTTGAACACTTAGTCCCATTCTTGTTGTCCTGTTAACTGAACCTAGGCTAGAGAAATGAAGAGAATTGTATAGAGGAAGATCTGTTCTGAAATAGCACTCTCCAGCTTACTTCTCTTTGAATTACAGGTTGTGTTCGCGTAGTCAGAGGTGAAGGAATGCCACAGTATCGCAATCCTTTTGAGAAGGGGGATCTTTACATTAAATTTGACGTTCAGTTTCCTGAAAATAACTGGATTAGCCCAGAAAAGCTTTCAGTAAGTAGTTTTTCAAGCATAAATGTGGTGGTCCTTATTTGACAGTGTATGCGAAGTGTGTGTGTTGTTCCTCACGTGCTTGCTTTCAGTGCTTAAATTTAGATGCAAGTACAATTGTTCTTGTAACGCTGTTTGTGGGCAACATGTAACTTGAAAGTACCCATTGGAATATGAATTCATGGAACCTATATTTAAGAGCTGTGCAGATGTTGGGCAGACGAGGGCAGGAGGAAGAATCTTCCTGCTGCTGTGTGATAAGTTTTCAGAGTGCAACTGTATTTACTGATTGCGCTTTTGGTTGATGATATGTAGAGCTGTTGGTTTTCTTTAAGCGGCGTCTTCCAGTTGGTACAAATATTTTGGATACTTTCAAATGAGTATGCACTTCATGGTTTACATCAGCTTAGACTTCTAAACTAATCCTGCTCTGAGAGGGAGTCTTGAAGTTGTGGGAAACTGGTCACTTTATTTAGCAGTTGTAGATGCAGTACTGAATACCCTTCTTTTTTTGGGGCAGGAACTTGAAGATCTTCTGCCAGCTAGACCAGAATTTCCCAATGTAATTGGTGATGCAGAAGAGGTAGATCTTCAGGAATTTGATACCACTCGTGGTTCAGGTGGTGGCCAGAGACGTGAAGCTTATAATGATAGTTCTGATGAAGAAAGCAGCCATCATGGACCTGGGGTACAGTGTGCCCATCAGTAAACGTTTGTCTAAAAAGTTGCACAAGGATTTTTCTTTCAATTTTGCCTGACTTGTTTTCAACAATCCAGCTGGATTGTATAAGTAATCCAGATGAACCAATGGACATCTATTGCTGTATGTGTAACTTTTAAATTGGTCTATAGTATCTACAGAGTGTAATTTAAACTAACCACAAGCTTACATCTTCATTTTGACTGTGTAGCAGAATAAAGCACTTGAAAGGAAGACGAGACTCCTTTTCACATGGGTTTTAAGTTTGTCCTCGTATTTGTGCTTGATTTTTACCAGTTTTGTGTAGATTTTAAGTTTCATATTTTAAATTCAAATTCTACATTGTAAAGTTTGTGTACAATTTGTCCTGAGGCTTGGTATTTGGCTGCACCTGCATAAGCTGCTACAAGTAGAATAAAGAATTTCATAGCCTGTATCTATCATCTAGATGCATGGTAAATGGGCTTTGCACATAATGGGTTTAGAGCTGACTGGGAACAATGGAAGACTAAATTAGAAGTGGTTGTAAGTTTTTTCTACCATCTTGTGAACGGTTTCTGAAATTAAATAAAAGCAGTTGGTGTATAATATATTTCTTCTGCCTTGTAACTCTTACTTTTACAGTGGCTTTAACTATTCTGTGTACAAAGAGACTATGTAGATGGTAGACATTTTATAAACACAGGGAGGCTGAAGCTGCTTTAAGACTAGGTTGCAGTTAGGTAACAATTGTGTGCCACATATAAAAGTCTCTTCTTGAAATGAGATATGACTAAATAGGCATGAGGAAGGCTGCAGCCATGTCCCCTTTGTATGAAGAAAACACAAAGATATCCGAGTACAATCAGAAGATAACAAAACCTTTCAAATGAACATGATTAAATCCCCAAATAATGGCGTCTTTCTCTTAGCCTTCGAATCTAATTCAAAGCCTGATTCAGCCTGACTTCCTAGAGAAATGTTTCCAGTTCTAAAAAATCTCTGTAGAAATGAACATTACGCCCGGCAACTTTTGGTTGCATTAATACAGTTTGTAAAGAGATTATTAGTATTGTACTTGACAAAAATTTTTGACCTGGGAACATATTAAATGTAGATGGCTTTGTTACTTTTCCAGTAGTCTGCACTTTCTGTTTTAGCTATTAAGACATTAAGTTCTTCAGCTTCAGTTCTGTTCCTTTTTATATGCTTTTAATTGGTAAAAATACCACAACAAAGCAAAAATGTGACCTTAAATAATTATCAGGTACAGTTAGTTATCTAAGCATTTTGTTACAGTGTTAAGGAACTGTGTGTGAACTTTAGAGAAGCAGCTTACCAACCATAGTGAGGTTTCTTTCCCTGTTGAAGCAAGGAACTTGAAAGATGCCTCTACTTTTCTTTACAAATCTGAAGTGTGACTTGTTTAGTTACTGCTCAGATAGTTGTTGACACTTTACCAATAGGTTGGAGGGACAAACTCCAAGGGTTTCCATGTGCTTGGGTAGGCATTGGCATTTGAGTGTTGCTGAACATCCTTGTTACAGACTCTAAAGCTGACGCAAGAATAAATACTGTTTGACCTGTATTTCAGTATTGACTTCTTATGCTGTGGCATTCTCGTCTAGTGAATCTTTATTTTCATTTATTAAAACTTTGGGTTGCTTTTCATGAAGCCATAGTTTCATACTGATCCTTTCTTCTGATTCATTTCTCCAAGAAGTCAGTCATATTAACCTGTAATGCTTAAACAATTAAAATGCCTGTCTTCTGCTTTTAAGTAGTAGCTTTAGGATTTACCTCCTTCGGAAACAGTATGTACTCTAAATGTTTTATCTCCTTGCTTTCAAACTACTTTTTTCAGGGGCAGAGAGGAAGGGATTCATGGTAACTTTCTGGATAGCATGCTGAAGTGAAGGTGTGGAGGGAAGCTGATCAGTGCATGAGGGAGTTAGTCTAGTTCTGTTTCAGTCCCAAGATTGCATTAATTTAGGCTCCTGACAGCAGCATCTCTCAATGAGTGGCAACTTCTTCAGCATTGCCCCTATGTGCATCTCCTGCTCTACTAAGAGGGTACAAAGTTGTAGTGTAGAAAAACTTCACATAAATTCACAATCTATGCTGTCTTGGTTTTAGTATTTAAGTTGCAAGTAATATGCTCCTACAGTTACTAATACTTCAGTAGTTTACTGATGAAGATTAATGCTCAACATAGCTATTAATGCTTTAACTGGGCCAATGTGATTGTCCTATGAATAATCAAATAAACATTAGTTGAGTGTTCTCAGTAGTAAACAGCTGCAACTTAAACACTTATGTTAGAGGTGTTAAATCATTCATGTTGAAATGGCCATTTGCCTGCAATAATCAAAAGCTGATACCACATTGATGTGATGTTCTTATCCATTTAAGGGAAAATGGATGTTAATTCAGGTTAAACTATTGAGTTACAAAACTAACTATTCATGAATTTTCTGTAAGCTCCATGTGTAATCTGAATGAGAGGTTTATTCCTGTATTTTCTGGTTACCAAGTGAGAGCATAGTTTTAAACAAGGTTTGATAGTGTTTTGACTTCATGTTCTTCACCAGTTTTGTCTCCCATGCCTTGGAAAGCTTTTTTTTTTCCCCTCCATATTTGAAACTTGTGACCTTTATTTCCTTAAGTGAAACAAAGGTGGAAGCAGAACAGAAGAAAAAGTAATCTAGATTTCATTCTTAAACTAATGTTTTAGTTTAAAGACTGTAGGAGTCTTTCATACCATCCTTTACCACAGTGAAAACACTTTAATTGAAATCACCACTGATAGAGTAACAGCCAAGTGCATCCTCAAGTTCTGAAAATTGTGACTGCTGGACTGGCATCTTTACCTGGAAAGATGTTAAAAGCCTTTCCTACGAGTTACTCAAAAGTACATAAGTACTAGAAAAATTGGGTTGACACTACGAATTACAGTAAGTCTGGGTTATTACCTGTCATCTTGCACATTACATCACAGCACAAGACTAGAAATAAGTTTTATTCCTGTGTCAGATTCATATATGTCACCACAGAACTAAAGTTACATGCCTTAAAATGCTATGCAAGAATTTAGAAACTTGCACTTCAGCTTAATTCCAGAGTTAGATTCTGAGAAGACTAAACATGAGTAGTAAACCAACAGTACATTCTGCTTGTGGCACGTGTGGAAGAATGACACTAAAGAGCTCTATACATATGAATAGTTATGTAAAAAAAGAGTCCTATTTAGAATATCAGAGTTAAAACTTATTTCCTACATACAACCTATTACTGTTCATTTTACTGTGAACTGAGGTTAGATGTTAACTAAGCCTTTTATAAAGAGGTTGGAAAAGTAGAATTATTTTCTTCTGCTTTTGTATCCTTCACAGAGATAACAGGAATTTAATAATACACATCACACTGTAAGCTTTTATATAAAAACATTTACTGGGCAGTTATACAGCTTTATTAAGACATTATAGACATTCTCTAAACACTTCAGAGGCAGCAAGCAAGAGCTGTCATGAACATTCTCCAGTCGCAAGACAGTTCCATTAACTCGGTTTAGCTGTTGCCTTTCCACATAGTACAGTCAGCTCACTCTAAGGGGGGAAAAAATCATTTTAGTTCAAGCTACCCAACAGAACTTGGAAGAATAAAGAGAAAAGTCACTATTGCTAAAGCAAGCAGTGAGCAAGCATTCCCCCGTTCTCTACCTACAGAGGCAGGTCCACGTTATAAAATCCAACTGCTTCCAGATCTTTAGCTTAACTCATATGGCTGCATTCAAGACTAAATACCTGCAAGACTGTAAACTGATTAATATTTCTTATGTCTAGATAGATTTCTAGTGCTGCACATTACTTCATCCAAAAGCCCAGGTACCCTCATCTTTAGAAGAGTCAGGCACTATGCGCTACAAAGTTCTGTTCAACTTCATTCTGCTTCAAAACAACTTACTTCCCTGAACCAAAGGTAAGGCAGTCACTATTCAATTGCAGCAGAGAATTAACAGAAGTATAGTTCTTACTCAGCAAGGGACATAATAGACAGATTAATAACAAGAATCAAAACTTAGCTTTGTAAGCCTTTGTGAATATGAGATAGAGAATGGGAGTTTGCTCACATGGTAGGAGAGACACCAGAGCAATCTAGAAGGAAGAGTTTAGGCTTCTGTTGTCCCCCGGGCAATTACCAAACTGCACATGCTTATTTAAGTGCATTTACTTTTACACATTATCTGTGTGCAGCAGTTCTCCCCTCCCTGTTCCTCCCTCCAATTTACGCCAACCAATTTAGGCTTAACCTCAGAAGGGTTAAAGCACTTAGATTTCCCATTCATGGCAGTATCTCACATGAAAACCTGAGACTAGGTATCTGAATATTTATATGTAAGCCTGCTAGTTTAAGCTTACCACTAAGTTATGAATATGCTGTACTGTATCTTGATTTAGTAGTTGCACATCAATATTATGGAGGTCACCACCAGCCGTACAGAGTGTCTAAACATGAAGAGAAACAGTTTTAAGATAAAAACTACTCTGAAAGTTTTCACTTGCGCAGCCAGCTTTTCTGAAAATCATGTGCTTCCCTGCTACACTGCAAAACTTTAGTAACCATTTTTCCTTTTGTTTAGCAGCAGCTCATTTAGGAATAGCAAGAGCTATCACTATCAGACTATTCACAGTTTATCAACTACTGTATGATGAAAAGGTTTGGTTTTTTTTTAAATATGACGTCATGCTCAGCGTATAAAGCTGGGGGAAGAAAGAGGAAGGGGGGGATGTTCGGAGTGATGGCGCTTGTCTTCCCAAGTAACCGTTACGAGTGAGGGAGCCCTGCTTTCCTGAGATGGCTGAACACCTGCCTGCCGATAGGAAATAAGTGAATGAATTCCTTGTTTTGCTTTAAAAAAAAAAAAGTTTGATACCTGTCCATCAGCCAGGGGAATGTTTACAAACGGAACAGTTTTATCTTGGGGTACTGATTTACTTCTTAGTAACATGCCTTGAACTCTTCCACCGGTAGCTACAGTTCTTGAGACAGTCTGTTGTAGTCCAGCACTAGAATACAATAAAAATGTTACTCTGAGGTTAACTTCATATGCTCTGCTGGAAATTTTCAAGCATGAAGCTAAATGCAAGTAGTAGCAAGCACACCTAATGGAAAGGCAGTCATGTTTAAATTTTTCCAGTTCTGCCGGAAGACTACAGGAAATCCAACCACCAGCAGCATTTACTAGTAACACTAGGTAACATTTTATGACCCTGAAACAACACTGCTGTAACATTCTAAGCCTGTGTTACAGGGCAGTGAGCAAGCTGATATTTGGACCACTCAGTAACAAGAATATCTGCTCTTCAGTATCAACAGTGAATGCTTATAGTTTTGGAAAGAGAAAACTTCATGCCTCAGGGCTTAAGATAAGATGTGTGCTGTATCTGTCTACTACAGAGGGAGATATCAAGAAATACCAAAGCTGCTAGCTCTCAGAGATACAGGGCATGCCTTATGCCATACAAAATTCCTGTTTCTTTCATGATACAATCGTTCTTATTCCACTTCAAAAAATGTAAGATTTGGGTATCTTCTGCATGGAAACAAGCCTCTGAAATTTATAGCAAGCCAAGGTGAAACTAAGCCACTTGATGGTTTCATGACCCACTTAAGTTACTAAGTTTTTCACCCCCTCACTTCAGCTGCTGACTTCTGCCAGAACTGTGCTAGTCTTGGCCGGGATAGAGTTAATTTTCTTCACAGTAGGGGGGCTCTGTTTTGGATTTGTGCTGGAAACAGTGTTGATAATAGAGGGATGTTTTCGTTACTGCTGAGCAGTGCTTACACAGAGTCAAGGCCTTTTCTGCCTCTCACCCCACCCCACCAGCGAGCAGGCTGGGGGTGCACAAGGAGCTGGGAGGGGACACAGCTGGGACAGCCGACCCCAACTGACCAAAGGGATATCCCACACCATATGATGTCATGCTCAGCATATAAAGCTGGGGGAAGAAAGAGGAAGGGGGGGATGTTCGGAGTGATGGCGCTTGTCTTCCCAAGTCACCGTTACGTGTGATGGAGCCCTGCTTTCCTGAGATGGCTGAACACCTGCCTGCCGATAGGAAATAAGTGAATGGATTCCTTGTTTTGCTTTGCTTGCATGTGCGGCTTTTGCTTTACCTATTGAACTGTCTTGATCTCAACCCACGAGTTTTCTCACTTTTACCCTTCCGATTCTCTCCCCCATCCCAACCCGGGGGGCGGGGGGGAGTGAGCGAACGGCTGTGTGGGGCTTAGTTGCTGGCTGGGGTTAAACCATGACACAAAACAAACTCTGTAGCGTATGGAGAATGATAATAACTGAAAAAGGGCCTTATCTGTTCAATATGCAAAGAACTGATTGTCAATTTATTTGGTTGGGGTTCTTTGGGGGTTTGGATTTTTTTTTTTTTTTTAAAACACAGCAGCATTGGTGACATTTTCATCAAGCTTGGGCTCTGAGAATTAGTTTAAGCTGTAAACCATACCTTTAAACAACAGTGGGTGGGAGTAGAATTTATACCCTAAATCTGTTGTGGTTTGTTTTTTTTTTTTTTAAACTTAGTTATGACATCAAACCCTGTACCTCCACGAGAACATAAGTTAACACCCACAGTCAAAGCAGGAGGTGTGACTGGTTTGCGTCCCCGCTACCAAATTTAGCGGCAGATCACAAAGATCTATTAAATCTAGATTGATGATGATTCATTGATATCCAGATTGATACTAATGTAGATATATAGTGTCTTGGTATTTAACAAAATTATTTATTAAGAACAAGCAGAAAACTCCTTACCTTTTAGATACCTTTGGCATGGCTTTGAAATTTGTGGCACTGCAATCAGAAGCAAGAGACTTAACGGCCTCAGTCACACTTGCAGAAGAGTGAACAGACCTAAAAAAAAAAAAAAAGGCAAAAGAAAAAAGTGGTTGTTGGTTTGGGGTTTGGTTGGGGTTTTTTTTAAATTTTATTTTTTATTTCCTTATCTACTGTAGAGTTTTAGCTAGGGTGAGGATAGACAGTGAATTAGAGAAGGTTGAAGTGCTTCATGACAGAGATCTAGTGTATAAACATGTGAAGAAGTCCTCCTGAGGTAGATGTGATATAATGGGACCTAACACCATAGGGGAATGAAAGGATAATTTATGTTAGTAGATAAGAGAGGGCGGCAATACCTGAGCTGGGTATAATTAAGGGAGCATCCACAGCTTTCTATCTGAGTGTGCAAAAAGTTTCTTGGGAAGTTTCTT